CACGCTCATACCAAGGAGTTTAAAACAGATTTTAATCTCCTTGGCTCATACTCATATATAACCTTATGCAGTTGCGAGCGCCGTTAAACGCTTACCAATTTTTTTTTCTAAATAGTTATTATTATTATTATTATTGATACAAGTGTGGAAAAATAAATGTAGGCCTAATTATTGTCGCTTTTACGAATAGCGTGCCAATTTCTTTGTAGGCCTACTATAATGATCAGAAAACGGTCTCAAAAGGAAGTATTGACGATTGAAACAAAAATACTGAACCTACTTCCATTAGCCTACCACCATAAGTTTGCCCGATTTTCTTGTTTTGCGCTATTTTATGATTCCCCAATCCCCTGGGGTTAGTAATCTTTCTTTGTTTTATATATCGCTGACGAGTGCATCGAAAATCATAGGCCTAAGCCACCTCGTTTATCCCTTGAGAGAGAGTTCAGAAGTTCAAAGTTCAGAGTTCGTGGTGTGGGGTGGACAGACCAGGGACGGACAACGATCAACACACCGGTCAACAACACACTCGCCAACTGAAGCGACGCGTTCTCCTCGTCCGTTCAGACACTTATTTCTTCAGGCCAGGTACGAAAAAACCTTCTACCGATTCTCATGTTTTTGGTATAGATCTAGAGGTATGGGAACGTAAGGAACTTGCAGTCCGTCTTTAGAACTGTAGATCTATTGAAGAAGAGAAGTGAACCGTTCACATACATAGAGTATTTCATTGCAGCGGAGGGGAGACAGCAGGCAGCTGTTTAAAGCTTGTTGTTGTTGCAGAAAGGTAAGAGAACAGATGTTGATAAAACAAAATAATAAGGTCTCGCGGTTCTAACTTTTACCTCTAGGATTTTTATCTTATTCCTACATTAAATTGTTAGACCATTAAGTCCAATATAATAGAGATCTGTCTGAATCAAAACATTTCTAGAACCTTGGTTTAAGTTTAGCATTAAATTAAGATTGTGAAGTTAGCTGTACTTGAACCTTGGATGTCTTGATAAGGTCGCGAAGCACTGTATCCAAACACAAATATGTCAGACTTAGGTCAGAATAGGCAGCTACTTTTGTATTATTCTGGCATTTGAGCGGGTTAGAGAAATCACAGAAGGCTATCATGTATAATAGTAAGTACTGTACATTCAGGGTTCAGGTGTCTCGTTCTTGTTCAAGACTTTGAAGTAGCATTTAGAATTTTATTTATTTTTTAAAATAAAAATTATAAAAACAATGTGTGAAATGTATGGTTACATTATAATACAAAGGTTGAAAGGTTTTTCT